ATATATTAATGTTATCAAACTTGCCTATCACGATTCAGGATCAACATTAAATCACGAATATATTTTATGTTGTGTAATTTTGAAACGTCTTGCTTGGTTTGTAAATTTARGACGTTATTAATATTTGTATGGCGTTCCATAAACAAAGCTTTTATGTATAAATCTATTTACATTTATATTTTAAACATTTGATTGCTTTTGACTTTTTACTCTTTTCGTAAAATGTGATCAAAAACAAAAACGTTTAAAAACCTAAAATACGTACAATGTAAAACGTTTATAGCAGCAAAATAAATAAATATATGTACCTCTTTACATTGCATTATATATTTCTGATCATTACGAAATAATAATAAAGCCTAGATCAAAACTAAACATTTATTTTTTTCTATTTAATCAAAAATATCCAAATGTAAAATCCTGAACATGATGTAATGATTGTTATGATTGTGTAATATTTTGAATTAAGACTTCGAATAATATTCTCCAATGTAAAGGGTCCAAAGTTATTATTACTTTTGTTACATTATTCTAGCGGTGAACGACTAATTTCAATTTTAAAYTTTCACTTCATATATTTTATGAAATTTTGATGGCACGAGCCGTATTCGACTACAAAACACTGACTTTTCACAACTAATTATTTTTATAAATATTTAAATTATTTTGGAAATAACATGTAAATTATGAAACGATCCAACAGAAACTGTGTGAGGCCATGAGTCAAATAAAACGCGATAAAAATTGGATGAAAATATGTAGTATAGATAATTACGGATATTTGTAAGACAGTTATTGCATGTAAACGAAAAAAAATTAATGTGAAAGATGAAAAAAAAATTCATAAATATTTATTCAAGATTATAAAAATATGATGATATTTTAATAATTATGTTTAAAAAAAAATGAAGGTTGTGGATTTGAAATTCAGAAATATGTAAAAAAAAAAAATACAGAGCGTTTCGTGATAAACATGGTGCGAAATTATTTACAGATGACTTTATTTAGAACGTCTATATATACAAAAACATTTATATCAGCGCCTCGTATTTAATATACTCCGATTTTAGTACCTGTGTAACTTTCATTACACTCATGAATGGTAAATTCTTATGACAAAAATATTTGTATAATAGATTTAATTATGTTTTAATATATATYAAAACATCTTTAATTGAAATATGCCACTGACCAGTGTAAATGCGATACCTAATTGCATTTATTAAGATTTCAGATCTACCCCTAAATTATATAAATGTAAAAATAAGTATCTATGATAGTCGAATACATGATATTATATTTAGTATTCTACTAAGGAACTCTAATGCACCGAATTATTTGTTGTTGTTCACAAAAAAATAAGCGTCGATAAACGAGATAAAAATACTACTGGAATAAATGCGTTCACATGCTTTATATCTACCGCACTTTATAAAATATGAAATATATACAATAATTTCAACACGAGAAATGTCGACTTATTATTTTAGTATAATATTACGTACCATAAAAATAATAAACTGATCGGATTTTGATTGTTTTAGCTGACATATGTGATCGGGATAGGTACGCTTATATATTATTAAATGTACTCTCCAGACGATTAGACGACCGTAAACCAATATATATATATATATATATATATATATAAATTTATTGCATGCAATTCAATAGTGTATGATGTTTGATTTTTTCGGTTCAAGAACATTCCCGGGAGACTGCGTAAAAAATGTGTTAGAATTTGTTTTCTATTATTATATATGAAGCGTCGGTAAGATCGGTGAACTGTAAAAAATATTTGAGAACAAAATAATATGCAGTATTTTTCATAAATTTGAGATCAAGTAATGGTAGAAATTTTGCATGCATCCTTTATACAGCTAAGGTATCAACTTTATGCSATGTATAGCTGGGCTTGTAAAACGACACGTATTTCTACGGTTAGTTTATTTGAACATTGGTCGGGTATTAAAAAATCACCTTACCTAACCTAACGATAAAATTAACCAAGTAATTTCATCACATTATAAACTAAGAATCTAAATAGTCTAACCATTAGAATTTTTTTTTTAAAATTAAGATTCATAAATATATATGTATAAAATTGTTATTATTCGAACGTCAACGTTTAACTATTTTATCTAAYACTTAAAACTACTAGTGAAACATTATGTTTAAATTCTCAATATTATTTCGAAAAATGGAAAAGTATAAATTTTCAAATTCGTTGTAGCCTGATTAATACCTAATTCTGTCATATTTGTAATTAATGCAATAAAAAAATCTTATCTTTCAAAAATACAGAATAAAATTTTAAAATTGTATTATGGTATCTAAGCTTTTATAATTAAATTATATCGTTAAAATTGTGTATAAARTATTTAGTTTTTTATATTTTAGTGGAGTGTACTTTATTACCTATTGGATTAGCGTTAGTTATAAAAGTGGAAAACACATACATTTTTTACAATTTTTAACATTCTTCGCCCCCAAATTGGCTAATTTGTTAAGTTTTTCAGTTGGAAGCTAGCGAGGCTCTCACTTTTATTTCTTACTTCAAATTTACAAGCCAATCATCAACGAAAATTAAATATGGATATTGTTTTATTGGCTCCACCATCCTGTCACATCACAAAATATTAAATTCATTTCGAAGMGCTCGGAGCTCTTAAACCAACACCAACYCGGTATCTACTGAAGTGTCGAATCCTCTTCCCCACCATCTCCCAACAAACATCGTTGACAAACAGGCAAATTCATCTTGAAATTATMTTCTTTAATAGGTGATGTTGTAAACTCGGTTAACACTAAATGGAGATTATCCTGCAGATTCACTCCGTAAATTTTAGTTATGATACAGCCATYCTCAACTATTCTCACGYACATTTATCAAGTGTCCACAACAAACCATTATATGTTGTAACAGRCAAGGGAGATTATTAGTCATGATATTAATCATTTTAAGACTATTTAACTGTTTTGTGAGAATTTTAGAGAAATAAAAAAATTGTAAGAATCACGAGTAAACTTAATTTTTTTATTATCCAAGGGCCAATGTAATCAGCGTGKAGCAGAATATTTCAGCTCAACACTATATAATCATAAGATAAGATTAGTTAATAATAATATTAATGCCATTAAAAACTATACATGATAATATTATTATAGTATTTAACAAAGAGCGAATTGACATTTTTATAAATATGAWTGTATTACCATATTGATAAAGACAAAGTGAACAAAGTGAACGAAATGTATAAGAACATAAATAATTGGCCACTGTTCTTGGCTTAACTGATTTAACTATTGTACTAAATGTATTATAGACGACAGATAATGAAGCAGTTTTTATTTTTTTATTTTTTATACAGCAGATGAGAGAATTACATTTAACGGTTTAAAAATAATTATGTTAGTGCTTCTTTTTAGCTGAACATWAGTTTGTAGTCAAAATATTCAGAAATTTCTATGTGTCACAACAATAGATAGAACATTTAATCATTGTTAGGATTCGAAATATACCCTTTCTAGTTTTAGATAAAGAAAAATAATTTAAAAAACATCACTTAATATTATGTGACAAAGAATTACTAATTATTAAAGTTACTAATAGATTTTTCCTCCACATTTCAATAATAAAAGCGATAAACCGAACATCTCTTTACTTGCTAAACTCAATAAGCCCTGTATTCATGGTCTAAGCCACAGTCRTCATTAAAGTTTTTTTTTAAACCGATTCCAACTAGATTATAGTCTYTGACTTTAACTCAACACAATATTAAATCAATATTATATGAGCCGCTAACAATGACTKACATTTATTTATGACATGAAACCAGATTTCTTTTTAAAAATCAAAATTTCTCTCATTTCTTATGCAATCTTAATGAAATTTTTTTATCTTAATAATATATCCAAAAGCCATAAGATAAATTAATTTGTAACCATAAGTTGTACAACCTTAAAGGGGCTCAAATGTTAATATCATCATCAAAGGTATCAAATATTATGGACCTTGAGTTCCAATAAAAGTTAGCATGGCACTGCTTTYCAAGTCCCAACCAGAAATTATATTCATGATGAAAGTTGATTCATAAAATTAAGTGTAAATTTGCATAACTTGACTTAATCATAAACCTAATTTTACTGGGCAGCTTTCAAAATAATTGTAATTCATACCTACATATTTTTGAACCCTTTATTTGGAATTTAATGTATACAATAAATTTAGAAAAATTAAACAAGGTATAACATTAATTTAAATCCGCATGATTACCCCTCATTTTATCGTTCCTATGTTTTAAAAACAAACATTCGACATTACACAAATTAAAGAGATTGTCGGTCATTATTTTATATTCCCTCCTTAAAATCTAAAAACCACTGCRAAGCTGTATTTTTTATGTAACAAAGGCTTGGACTTTGAGTAAATGAGAAACTTGTTCACAAAATCTGTTTACTTCTAGTCCCTTTATATTTTACAGATAATTTATTTTACAACGCACATTTTTAGTACGCAGTTTAAACGACTGATCAATTATCCCAACACTCTAAAATCACCCCAATAAAGCATATTAGTCCCTAAAATCTACAACATTTAACTTTTAAGATTCCAAACTCAGAACGATACTAACCAAGAAGTTATCTTTCTACCCATTTTCAGACAAAAATAGTAATTAAAATTGATATTGCACTTAATCAGATGGACAGATGGTACGTAATAACGAAGTTTATCTTCTACAATAATTYAAATATTTTCACGCATGTATGCTCGTGAAGATATATGAATCTCTTGATCCTTATTCTCTTAAAAGCCATAATGTGTCTATTACGAGTATATTAATAATGACGATGTCAACGATGTCCATAATTGTAACCACCACAATAAAACATTATTAKAAATAAGAAAAGATTTCGTATCCTAAAAATATAGCAATTTGAAGTAAATGATTACTACGTTTATCAATTTCTTATAATTAATTTTTCATTTCAATTTACAGATTGTCGGATAACGGTGGTGTCCAGGATGACAACGATGACGACGGTTTCTGTAACGTTGATGACATGGATAACGAAGAACAAGAATACGAAGAAGAAGTAGTAGAAGAAGGAGGTGCTTGTGATTCGATGTGTTCAGAAGACACGTCCAATTGCACCGGGACGCCTCGGTGTAGGCGGGCCAAGCGGCAGCGGCGCCGGCGGCGGTCGTGCACGMTGCATGAGTCGATGCGTCGACGATTCGATGGCCCCAACCATCACCGCCACTTGCACCATCAAGGCCGACCCACGCGAGCCCGAAGCTTTCACGAGGACGAACTGACCAGGAACCGAACCGGACCCACCTATTCGGACGTCACCGGCACGGCGGCAGTGGTAGACAGTGGGCCAAAAATTGTAGGGACGCTGCTCAAACAGGAATTCCAACGGAAGCCTGGTCTGGACGAAGAAATATGTCTGTTACCGCCACCGCCGCCACACCGACGACAGCGGCAGAAACGTTCTGTGTCCGCAAACAGCGGCAGTTCTAGTGCCCGTAATGTGACAGCGGCATCAGTGAGATCACCATCTCCGTCACCGGTTTTGTCTTCACAACCAGCACGGACGGTTAGGTCTCCGTCTCAGAGGCATCCATATCAGGTGGAGCAGCAGCAGCAGAARCAACAGACGGAAGCGCGTGTTGATACATTGACCGTGTGGTCAGCTGCATCCAATGCGGCCAAGACAACGACGTTAGCGGTGGCCAAGAGTGGTCCGTTGCGCAGGGCCATGACGCAAAAGCCGATGCGCAAGCAGACTCCGACCGTGAACACGACGTCAGCCACTGGAAGACGTCACTCGCCACTCGTCCGATACGGGTCCACGCTGGGACTGCCGTCGCGACAACAGCAGCAAGCGACGCCACAGCGGYCGAACAACGTGAACCGGTCGAGCGTCATGATCCGCAACTCGTACCGTCACGGCCGCATCATTCGGCTAGAGCAAAAGGCCACCAAGGTGTTGGGCGTCGTGTTCTTTACATTCGTGTTCCTGTGGACACCGTTCTTTGCGCTCAACCTGCTACCGTCTGTGTGCCCGAACTGCGAAGCCGACATCAGCAAGGGCCTCATCGACCTGGTCACGTGGCTGGGTTATGCCAGTTCCATGGTCAACCCGGTGTTCTACACGATATTCAACAAGGTGTTTCGGCAGGCGTTTAAACGGGTGCTTATGTGCAAGTATAGCGGCCGTAGCAAGCGGCATTCGTGGCCTCCACCGCCACCCGTTAGGAAGGTTTAAACCTAGGTCCCAGATTTCCTCCATACACACATTTCACTACCTGTTTTGTTACCSGTTACCAGTGCTCACCACAGTAATGGTATCCTGCGGCAATACTAAAATCTATCAAGCCAATTCCACAGCTGGGTCATCTGTCGTATCGTTTGGCTTCCATAATTATATTCTGATCGGATGTTGTAACCATGATATATCGGTATCATTCACCAACCATAATCTACCAGCAGATTTCAATAGTCGTACCGAGATCAATTTATGGACACATCACGACACACATTAAAGCTGTGTGACCGACTTATTCATTCGTAATATATTTACAGACTATAGAGGTACACGGTTAAATAAAATTAAAATTGTTTAATGTTAAGACTTCAATTTAAATGTTGTAAAAATGATTTAACATTTGCAAAGGAACTCTACGCAGTTATCCAAAAAAGTTTTCCATAAAATRTTTATATAAGTTAAGTAACGCAAAAAAAAAATTATAATAATTATTGTAGCTCTTCAACCACCATGCGTATCTCATTGACCTATTACTATATTGTTTAAATTTGGCTTATTCAAATGTTTGTTTCGTTCTGAATTAAGTCTAATGTAAAAAATTGTTTCAAATAAATTGAATTTAAAATATTTGCAAAAAAATTCAAACACGGATATTTCAAATCATACATTAAAATATTCAATATTTTTAACAGGCTTGTAGCTACGGAAGTGGGGAGCAAGAGGAGCGTTGCCTTCSCTAACACAATCATTGCCTTCTCTAAAAATATTAGAAATATTAGACATTTATATTGTTTTTAAATATAATGTTCCTCTACAATTTTATTTACCCTACCTAAAAATTGGATCTGGCTACGGGCCTGAATTTTAAGACCACAATAAATCGATCGTTTTAAAAAATCACTTTCAAATTATACGAAAAGATACTTGCGTAAATAAAATATTATTATGATCTGTCCCAAAATTTCGTTAAATCCTGTTCGGTGACTAGTCCGAAATGGCTTAATCGTGTCTTTAGTATCTATTACTATTTTCATTATTATAATAATATATGAGAATGTTTACTTATTTACATGTACAGTTGATTAAAATGAGTCGAAATGTACATTTATGGCTATATCCAATGGTGAGCTAGTTGAATTAAATAATTTATTTTAACTTAACTAATAAATGCTGATTTACTTATTAACTTAAATAAGCTAATTGGCTATTGAAATAACTTAGCTTTTTTCTATTGATTTATAAACTTCAAAAAACTTTAATTTATGATTTTATACATCAATCAAAAAATTATCTAATATTATGATATTAATAACAATAACTATATAAACCTTTCTGTTATGTGTTATGATAGAACATTATTACATAATAAATAATAACACAATATAAATAGGCAATAAATACTCATTTTAATAAAAAATAGATTCATTTGYTTTTTAATTGATTCGGGTTAGATTTTTTCCTTATGAATTTCAAACTTGGTTAATTTTATTATTTGTTAATAATCTAGATTTAACGACCTTGTTTTCACTAAGTTAACTTAACCTGAGTGAATYATTTTCATTRAATTATCCACCTTTGGCTGTATTATTATCATTAATAAACGTGGTTATCTATGGTTTAATTAAAAATCAAGCTATCATTTATCGTTATCGCATCCTCCTTCAATATATAATAATAAATAATATTATATATTAATTTTGATACTAGTAAAAATATGTTCGATTTCTTGTTCAATGACTATTCAAATAGTTAATTTTTTTAAATAAACAACAATTTTCATTTTTAATCCCTATTAACTGTTGCATTATTGAATAATGTGTTGTTGTTGTTGTTGTTTTTGTTTTTGTTGTTGATTGTTTCAAATACGGACCGGCTTTACAGTATATGGGAGAGCGTGATGAGGATACTCGAAACGAACGACAAAACATATCAATCTCTTTTCCACAATAAAGCTAATGTTTGTTAGTAGGGAATAAACCGTTTTAGAATATTCGAGTATTCTTTTGGCGGCATAATAATAATGTAGTCCGTATATAAAAAAAAAAAACAAAAACAAAACAAAAAAAACATTCCATTCCGTAATATATTGCAGTTCTCGTGCGTGTAGAGTAATTAATCGCGTTTGAAATGATTTATAGTCGAGAAAATGTTTATCCGACACCTGCAAGTGAGTGGATTTAAAAAGAAAATTAATTCGAGATGAGAGCGCAGACCGATAATAATGTTATTATGGCGGGTGCAGTATCCAGACACCGCGATGCAATAACACGATGATCGTTCATTATGCTTTTTAATAATAATAATATGACTGTCATATTACCTGTGGATTTTTATTATTTCTCCTCACCACTCCCCGCACTATTTCCTCGACAACGCTGTAACTTCGTCATGACCATTTTCACATCAGCCGTATATTTTTTTCGACTCAATAAGTTATGCATAATATCTGCTAATGCACTTTTTGATGACGTGATGTTAGTCACTGTTATTAGTTTAACCGTGCGGATCATATACGGTTTTATGCACCGTTAAGCCCTATTATTATAGTTATACTTTATTTATTAAAATATTCCATGATATAGCATAGTGCTAAACAACTTAACTGCAATGGGAAATATTCAACTTACTACAACTACATAGCTATTAGTTATGATAGGAATATCAGTATTTTTCTTAAAAGATGTTCATGTGATATTATGATCACAAATTAAACTATACATATTTGAGTCTAGTGATTTGTAAGCCAATTTAATTACCACGTTAAAGGCCGATATCTCAACTAATCAAATAAAATATATTTATTCATAAAAAAAGTTTGAATGTTTACCAGTAATGTAATTCACTATCACATACACCACAAATCTAATTTCTAATACACCATTCAGTCGTGTATTCATTCTAAAAACTTAGTCATAATAAGAATTGATAAAATTTCTATCCAACAATAGTTTTCAATTAAATTTGGTACATAATAAATAAAAACCGTTTAATTTGACAATTAATTTTATCCATAACCTATGTTATGAGTATTAACAATATTATTAAAACATAAAAATTAAAATAGTAATAAATGTGTAAACAAATGCTTCGAAAAAAATATTATATAAGACAAGAATTTTCATGCATAATATTGAAAAATATACAGTAGTATACAAAATAATTTTAAAATAATAAAAGGACATAGACAAAACTTACTATAATTATTATTATTGTTAAATCTAAAATGTAATTAAATTTCACTATAATTATTTTAACAATGATTTCGTTCAAACCATTCCCCTGTTTCTAACTTTTCGATATGTTTGTAATCGTCAAATTATATCATACATAAACGGTAAACATCCATGCATGTGTGTGTACGTGCGGTGTATGTGTAGTGTGGGTGTATTATTAATTTTACAAGCTTATAAAAACCCGATTTAAAAACCATCTCCAAAACCGGAGGCACTCCGTGACTATTATTTTATGAAGTATAAATTACGAACAATTAAGTAGACCACTAGAGCGGTCAATATAATATTTACAATCGTACGAAACTACGACAGCATAACACAATAATTAAACGACTTATTACGATAACTTTTATACAAAATTTCATCGATCCTAGTGACTTTAGCGATGCATTGTCGACTGCGTACCCATATGATATGCGCAAGTAGGCAGACGCGGTAGATGTACACACGAAGCGATGCGAATTTGTAGGTATAAATATATATATATATTAAAACGTACGCCCCCTTAAAAGATAAATAACTCGAAGAAGGCGGAACTTCCGTGCCGCCGTCTGGAAAACCTGACCTTTAACTACAGCAGCGGTCTGCTGACGACAGACCCTTATTATTGTGATTTTTTTCCTTCCGGAACAATGTTGAGTCCTATCCTCTGTACGACTAAACAGTGTTGTTACTCGTGGGCTTCAGCGAGTAACTTCCGCGTGAAAATGACAATAATATTTTTCATTTCCGGTCCGTCATCGTCGTCAGATAATCACAATATTGTTGAAAAATCGTACTCGTGCAATATACTCGTACCTGTATAATATAGAAAGATGATAAATATTGTTTGCTTGGAAACAAACAAATATTTTTTTGTACATTGTATCAAATAAATTTATTATAATATTATATATATTTGTCATTAATATTATATTTTTTTCTTTAATAATTATATGAAAAAATAAATGATTTATTGAAATTATAATAAATTAATGTATTATTACGTATTAAAGATAAAAAAATACGAATTGTGTGCAAAAAAAAAATGCTTTATATTATTTTGTACAATTTCAAAAGCCAAAGTCGTTACTTTTGTATACTCTCAAGTGTAATAATTGTTAATAATTGTTAAGTGCGCCTACGCGAAATGTACTCATACGAATCTTATATTTTAATTAGAATAAGTAATAGGTATTCTTATAATTCGCTGCGATTTATATATTATATGGGCAATTCCCATCTGGACCAATTAAAAAAAAAACTCCTATGTAGATTAATTTTGAATTTCTGTTTACAGTGGGAGTAACACATAATACAAACATTTTGAAATTAGCTAATAAATTTAGATAATCTTAAATAGGTGTGAAAAAAATGTATTTTTAATTTTAGATTGCCGGAAGGGAGGAGGGCAATTAAATTATTGGAAAACAATTTCACTCGTTGTAAATTGAACAAAATTATAATATTCAAACCATCAGCCAATCTTATTGCAGACATAGTATATATAAATTATTTAGATGTTTTCGTGTTGAAATTATGGTGTTATAATACTGAATTATTTTTCATATTTTGTAATTAGTCGATATATAAATAATAATATAAACAATATTTACCTATTATAGTACTACATTGGTAAATGGTTATAGGTATATGGTAATTGGTAGTATAAAATATTCTAAAATACGTATAATTTAATAAGTATATGTAAATTAATCATTGATTAATAAATTAATAATTATTGATAACAATAAATTATTTACTAGACACAATAATTCTTTATAGGGTGTTGCATAATTAGTGGTAGTTAAATAAGCACACGTAATGAGAACAAAGTAATTTGGTCGCAAGTATTTCTATCGTGTAAACTAAAATAGTGTGTGTCATTGCGTGAAGTTAAAATAAAAATAAAATTACAGTAAAACATAATCATTTCATGTTAGCATTAGTTTAATAATATTACGAGTAAAACAAAAAAAAGTATAATTATATTTTATATGAAAATGTACAGCGATTCCCTTAAATTTCCTAGAATAGCTTTATTTGAGAATTACTACCCTACTATTTATCTCAGGTACATCTTTTTGATGATCTTATGATACGTTTCATCGTTACTAAGTTACCATAAAGACTGCGGTGACTATGTGATAGAAAAACTTGCACAACTGTTACACCAAAATATTTTAAAATGCTTCTAATTGCATAATATAAATAACAACAGGTAAAGTAATGCATTTAGTACAAAAGTTAATATCGCCATATAACATTCAAAATATGAGTATAATATGCCGCCAATTTTCAACAAATAGACGAAATAGCACGACAATAATATTTGGTATTTATATTAACTTTTAACTATATATTATATGATAATAATATTGACTAATAGTCTTAATATACTCTAAATCATCTTACTGCAAACATTTCAAAGAGGCTTTTATTTTATTTTCCAAACTAACATTGTGTCAATAGTTTAATATTATAATAAATATTCTGATTATCAATGAATAATATTATTGGTGAAGTTATGCATCACAACTTAGTAGAACGATTTGTCAGGCAGGAGATAATCAAGAATTATCAATAGACATTAATATAATAATAATATGCAATTAAAAATGGTAACAAAAAAATAAAAAATAGAGATTCATGGTCATTATATTGTTGCATGTAGTGTGCACAACACTAGTGAACACGTGGATTTGAAAAACAAACAAAAAATAGAAAAAAAATTTGGGAAAAAATAAAAAATAGAGATTCATGGTCATTATATTGTTGCATGTAGTGTGCACAACACTAGTGAACACGTGGATTTGAAAAACAAACAAAAAATAGAGATGGCTGTGAAACCTTTCATAAGATATACCGACAAAAAGCATTGAGGTCACACGATCGCTTTAAATTTACAGTAAATAAATAATAAAATATAGAAAACTGTCCTTTGAGGCTGTATTCACTGCAATTAGGTGAACGTTTAGAACCTAACAGGGTCCAT